TAAACTATTTATTTATTTATTTTATTTATAGCTGATAGAAAAGTTTATAAAACTTAACTAACAGAAGAGATAGCTTTGGCTGCTGGGGCCTTACGCTACACTTGTGTTTAGAAATAAATTATTATATGTAATTCGTATGCTTAAACTTAACTAGAGAATGTTGAGAAGGTAACAATGTATGTTTTGGTGTTATATGAACATGCTTTTGAGAATTATATTATTGTACAATAGGTATAACAATTTGCATTTTTTTTCTGGATTACATCAATTAGCTATGTAACTGTATAAGTCGTTGGTATTGGTTTTATATATGATGGTAGAGGTTAGATATTTTTAGGAATTTAACGATTTTACTCTATTATCTAAGTTGGGATTGGAGAGGAGTTGGGAGGGTTTGTTGTAATGGAATATTTGTCTTCTCAGGTTTGATGAGGCGTGGCAGGAGTCGAGGATGTGTTCAATGGTGGTTGGGGAATAATTTTGGCAAGTAGGACATAGAGGTTTTCGTGTTCGTTTTGGTTGGTGTTTTAAGAAACTATTTATGAGCTAAAATAAACTAATTGAGTAAGATTTTTAATGTAATAGAGCAACGCATAGCTATCAGGCACGCGTTCACTCGTTTTCAAATTTGTGGTACCGTTAAGTTATCTTCGTTTTATTTTGAATTTTGTGGGCACTTTGCAAAGAATTAATTGACAACGCAATATTTGGCGAATTTTAATTTAGTTTTTTATTTTTACCGTTCGGTTTTAATGATTGTTAATGTTATTGCAAGTTATATTTGCTAAGAATACTTAGATTAACAATACCAATTAATAAAAAGGGAAACAAAATACTTTCATTTATAAAATAAAATTTGAAAAGAGATTTTTGTGATTTTCCCATTTTGCAAACAATTTATTCCCCTTTCCCATGGTGGCCAATTTTTGCTCATCCTTCATATCTTTCAAGCTTTTATCAAAGTTAACTCCGAATTCTTGGCACAAACGATTTACAACTCGCTGATTTGTTACCGTTATGCCTAAAAGAAGATGAGTTTCCTATACCCACTTTTAAGGCAGCGTTTTTACAAATACATACATACACACATACATATATACCTATCTATACACAAAAGTGAGTTTGTACTTTTATTCAGCTTCCCTTTTTGTGCTGGCTGTGTTTCTTGGCTCATTTCATTGAGTTCTTCCAAAAGCTTATCCACAGGGGTTGCTAGCAGTGTTGCCAAGTTTAAAAAAATACTACATAGTTCTCTGCAAGCAACACTACTACATGAATCCGTGAAATATATATGCCACGCGGACAATGGAATAATTCAAAACTAACCGCAATCCATACCAAAAATATGATCCAATTTACATTGCGATCCCCTAAAGTTGGACAATATATATTATTGCAACAGATATATATTAAATTTGCGCATTCGTTCTATTTGCATTAAAATACTTGTGCATACAAATGCATGTACATATATACTCAAACTTATATAAGCCTTCTATGTACCAGCAGAGCTCGCCAACGAAAGGAAACTGAGGGTGAGTTTCAAAACTTCACTTGCAAAGCAACTATACATTGTCATGCATTCCTACTTGCAACTGTGTAAATTTTGACAATATATCATGTTCCAAAATGTATAGGTAAAGTTATTGTTGTGCAAACAAAAGCAAACTGCGCATCGCTAAGGTTTGCAATGCTTTATTTTAGACATTGCATTACTTAAAGAATTTGTTTTGCCACCGCTAACCGAAAAGTAACTTATTTGCACGAAAAGCGATCGAAAATGTCATAGTTTGCGAAGTATTGTTGCTTTGTAAATTTATATAATTCAGGGTTACATTGTAATGATATGGTTGCACAAAACGGCATCATTTCAAAGTATTTTGACTTTTTGAATCTCACCCTGATGCAATGGTTAACTACAGAAGCCTATTGGATTACTCCAATGGACCATATGGTAAACAATCGTTTGCAGGGTTCATCAAATTTCAAAGCTACAAAAGTGAATAAATATATGTACGTACATATGTATGGATTTAAGTATTGACGATGTTATTATATTAGATATACTATTATATATATACATATGTATGTATGTAATTGGCGCTTTGTAGCCGCTGAAGCAATTTTCGGCCGAACTCGTCAAATTTGTGAGGTTCGTATTGATTTTTTTTAAATAAATTTTGAGAAACACTCGGAAGGTTTGACATTCCCTGCTGGCAGTATTTACACTCAGTTAATGAATATTAAGCACAATTTCCTTATAAGAAATTCTTATCCACATATTTATTATATCCTGATCCACTTAGTTGGCAACTATGTTTTCAACTTTTCTCGCGGAATCTTTTAGCGATGTAAGCTCTCGAATATCCCTCTATGCTTACATACATATACCAATGCAATATTTCTCAACGCCTTCTGCGTTTGCGCTCTTTCGTATTGCATGCTCGTACTTGTATATATATATTTTTTTGATGTCTCTGGTTTAATGAACTTCCGCTACTCTTTAACTGCCCATCTAAATACTGCTCGCTCATATAACATTGGTTTATTTACTGAAAGTTTTTCTTCATATGTTTACACTCGTAGTTAGCCCATGGCTGTTGCTTACATTCTCATTGGCATTCTGCTGTTGTTGTCTCCTACTGATGCGAACAATCGTATAAATCGCATGTGAAATTTAATTTTCGAATTTCGAGTTCATTGTTGCTTTGATGGTTTTTACACATGGATGTATGAATGCATGTAATTACAATGCAACCCTGCTGTTGGGTCTTCGCAACTTTCTCGCAATGCATATGGGTATTATTGTTGTTTTTGCTGGTTTTTGTGCATTCGCACAACAACAGGCTGGTTGTATGTGTCTGTTGCTTTGATTGTGGATTTGACTCCGTCGCTGCTGGCTGACTGAATGTTTGATTAGACGACTGTTTCGCTGACTTGGTTGCTTCAGCTAAAGCTGGTTGTTGTCGGATATTGGGAACTCCGATGTGGTCGGCTCGTGCCAGTACTCAGTTGTCAGCCAAACTGCTCACGACTAGAAAGCGGGGAGCAATATCCGAATGCAGATATTAAAATCGTTCGTTCAACAAAATTAACAGTCGATTCAATAACGTTCATGATTACGACGTCTGCTACTGCTGAACCGACGGCACTTACCAAATAACACATGTTTAAAAAATAATCCAAAATTAAACATAAAAAGAACGAATACATATATGTAATTGTAGACATAAGCATATGAATGTACATATGTATTAAATGAGAACACTGCAAGGTAATTGAGGTGGTGACGGTGTTTGATGATAGCAACGAGTGCAGCGTCGTAGACACAATGCCTACAATCGAAATCTTAATACTTAATCGCTTATAATGCAAATCGGAAGAAACAGATGGAACAGTGGCGACGGTGGAATCGATAGCACAGGCGGTTGAAAACTTTGTAGTGCAACGAACAGCGTCAAAATAAAACTATGTTATTGTTTTTAGATGTTAGTTTGTAGCGATAAAGTAATTACACATATTAAATTTCGACATCAACTTAAATTAGTGTGTGTATTTCAAGGGGAAGTGGCAGATTCCTTCTTTATTTAAAAGATTTGACACACTATACGCACACGCTAGATAGACGCGGCCGCAGTAGCCGAGTGATTAGCATTGCGTACCGCCATTCGGAATGCTCGGGCTCATATCCTGGTGTCGTACTATCATCCTAGAAGTTAAAGAAATTAAATTTAAATAAAAAGTTTAGCCGAATATCTTAATTGCGGTCACTTCTCGGTAGGAAATGTCAACCCCTGCGAGTGTATTTCTGACATGAAATAAAGATGCTCAAAAAAAACCATCAACATCTCGGAGGCGGCTTAGTATAAACTGTAGGTCCCTACATTTGTTGGAAAAACATCAAGACACAAAACCACAAATTGGAGTACATATGTATATGTACATATATATGTATATATCCTAACATCGCTTTATAACCCTTAAGCAATTAAGCTTCTCGCCTTGTATTTTGGCTATGATTTGAGCCCATGCTATTTTGTGTTGTGGCTGAAATTTTCGCAGTTATTTCCAAAACACCTTATGTGTGTATATTCTGCAAAAAATCTCCAAAATAATAATCTTTTCAATGAAAATTCATTTTTTCATTATCAACTTTTACACACCATTTCGAAAAGTACAAAAGGCTAAAAAGTTGCCATCCCAGATATTCCTTATCAAATATAGATAGTATTAAGAGCATGTACGAGTTTTGCAGTGTGATCAGTAATAAAGAAGTATCATAAATACTTTTTTAAAAATATAAATTAATTTCAAATTTACTTTTAATCTCTTTTGCACTCACTTTTCGCATTTTTAATTTTGAGACGACAAGTCGGAAGGCAATTCCTTGGTTATGTCGGACAGAAACCTTATACCCGATCGTTAGATATTCATTTTTTTCCGCTATACAAAAAAGTAGTGAGTGAGTAGTGAGTATCTACCTCATTTTTTTCGATGGCATATATCAAAACACAATAATCAAGGAATTAGTACTGCACCCACGAGTATATTTACCCAAAAGACTTTAATTTTTGTTTTATTATTTTGTTGATAATTATTCTATAAAATAATTATTTAACTGTAACCCAATGGGTTATTTTACGATTAGTAGAATTGAATTACATTTCGGATGCTCTATGGCCACAGCTTGAGAAACACAATAATGTGCGAGACATCAACTCGGATTGACAATAAGTATCGTTTGGAAAAACTTAAAAAAATATTTGGAATGATCTCCCAGATGTTTTCAGTGCTGATTTTTCAGGGAAAGGAATAAATCTCATCACTTTAATGAATATTTGGGTAAAGCTTAACTCCATTAATATTTATGAACCCATAGATATATATGTATGTATATTCACAATGAGTATGTATGTATTGTGGGTGAAATTTATATTGTACGAAAAAGTATTTTCAACCATCAGTTTTTAATATCTTGATTTTTTTGTTTGTCATTACAGCAACAAAAGTTCTTAAAACGACCAGCGGACGATGTGGACAACGGAGCAGACAACTATGAGCCGCCACATAAACTGCCAAACAATAATAATAATAACAACAGTAACAATAGCAACAATAGTAACGGCTCTGAAAATCTAACGAAATTCTCAGTGCATATCGTTCAAAAATTGGAGTTCACCACCTCGGCGGCAAATTCGCAGCCACAGCAGATAAGTACGAATGTCACGGTGAAGGCGCTGACAAACACTTCTGTAAAAAGTGAAAGCGAAGTCGGTGGGAACGGAAGTAGCGCGGGTGGCGGTGGCTGTAGTGGAGGGAGTGGGAATTCTGGCAGTGGTCCTGGAGGATCCAATGAACCCCAAAGCAGCGGCGTATCGAATAATGCTCGCGGAAATACCGGAAACGGCGAAGGTGCTAATTCCGGGGGCAACGGGATGAACAGCAACGGTGGAAGGGGCAGCATGGTCAATAACCTAATGGGTGGACATAATTCGAATACAACGCAACAACAGCAAAAAGTTGCACTGAGTGGTTTAGGTGGTAGTCTTGGTGGCTTGGCAAACTTGGTGGAATGCAAACGTGAGCCAGATCAGGACTATTCCGATCTGGCTGGCCTTGATAAAGAAGGTGGCCCCAACAGTAACTTTCCCAGCTTTCCCGATCTTATGGGTGATGATATCATTAACGATTTACAAGATTTCAATCCGGATTTGTTCAGTTTCGACGAGAAACCTTTATTAGACATTAAGACGGAGGATGGCATTAAAGTGGAACCACCAAATGCACAAGACCTCATCAATAGTCTCAATGTTAAATCGGAGAATGCAATGGCAGATTTTACCGCCGCATTCGGAAGTGGTGGTGGGGGAATGAATGTTGGAAGTTCGACTAATGGACCCAGTAGCGGCAGTAATAACGGGATGGGGACCCAAATGAGTGGACAACCACATGCCGATCAACAGACTATGAATAAAATGCGGCAATTTTTAAACGGTCCCGATAGCGGTACAATGAATTCGTTGGCGGCACAAACTTTAAAACAAATGGCAGAACAACATCAACATAAGAATGCCATGGGAGGTATGGGAACTTTCCCTCGTCCGCCTATGCACCAGTCTCAGCAGAGCCAATTAATGAGCGGTGCTGGACCAAATGGACGCTACAACGATTACAGTGGTTTTGGAAACGATTTTGGTATAGTACATAATGGTTCTCAACAGCAGCAGCACTTACCACCCCAGTTTCAGCAAAAAGTCCCCGGAAATGGACAGATAACTAGTTCGGGTGTTGGAGTTGGCATGCAACAGTCCTTTTTAGATATTAAGCAAGAGCTTTTCTACTCATCACAAAATGACTTCGATATGAAGCGACTTCAACAACAGGCACAGATGCATCAGCAGCAACAGCAAACACATTCACAACAACATCATCCACAATCAACACAAAATTCACATGCTTCAAATGGACCAAAAATTACACCAAACGGAGGATCAGGTACTTTCCCGAAAGCTGGCCCATCGCAATCGCAATCACAACAACAACAGCCGAATCTACAGCAGCAGTACTCACCCTACAATTCACCGATGGGAGCAACAGGTAATCAGAGTCCAGTTGGGCAATCATTTATGCAAGGTACTAGTCGCACCGCTGGCGGGGCAGGTGGGATCGGTGGTGGAGTTAACATGGGCGCTGGGGCGAATAATAGCGGTCCATCTAATTTGTCGACACAACAAATGTCCCAACAGGCCAATGCGCAACAACGTGGAGGGCCACAAAGCGGACAGCCCCCAAACATCAACAGCGGTTCGGGTGGTGTTGGTAATGGTCCTCACGTTGGCGGTGCGAAAGGCCCAAATAATCAAAATGGGTCTGGTGGTGGCACAGGAGCTAGTAATGGTAGCGGTGCTCAAACCGGTTCGAATATGCATCAGCAGCAGCAACAGTCAACAACTACAACTCTACAAATGAAACAAACACAGCAGTTACATATAAGTCAGCAAGGGGGAACACATGGAATTCAGGTGAGTTTTTTCAATACACATAATTTACCTATTACAAAATTATATGATATTTTATCAATTCTTTCGGAGTGTCCAACCAAGATTAGTGGGATAATGTTATATGATTATCTCAGACCTCGAATAGACGACCCTCCGCAAGCACTATCCACTCGGTTATACGACTAGCTGACAATATAATACATGGGAAATTAAAAAGTTCGTTGCTGACAGCCTTGAAGTTAACGATAATTTTTTGGGTTAAATTCCAAAAATTTAGGTATAACTACTATTCAATAGTAATAACTATAATGGTAGGAAAAGTTTAAATAAATTTTCACTAAAAGTTAAGTGATAGTACATGCTTGAAGTTGAATTACTTAGTAACAAAATTCAGAGAGTAAGATGCTGTGCTCTCCCAGAGAAAGTAGTTTGCAGAGTTTTCACCGTACAAAATTCAGTAAAACTTTGTCAAGAAGTTGTATAACAGCTGTTTATTTCGCACTTACATTTGAATCCGTTGATTTATACAATATATTACTTATTATTATACAATATATTATCGTTACAACAACTACAACAACAACAACAATATATTACTTTCTACTCTTAAGAATTCTTGTAAGTGTTTTAATTAAATTGGGCATTTGTCTTTTTGGTTTATGGTTTTCAAAAATGATTATAATTCAACAATGGTGTTATTCTACATGCCTCATAGCCGTCAAACCATAAAGATAACATTAGATGTGTTCATTGAGAAATGTCAGTAAAAACCAGCAAGTAACGCAATTGAGAGAGTAAGATGTTTTACTCTCCGAAATAAAGAAATTTACTAAATGTTCAATGAACAGGATCCAGTAAAAATTAGCCAGGAAGTTGTAGAACAGCTGTTTATTTCGGCGGTTAAATTTGAAATTGTTCATTTATACAGTTTATTATTTCTGGTTTTGAGTATTTTCCAATTTTTATTTTTAATAGAATTGGCAATTATGTAAAATTTGAAGTTATTAATTTTATTCAAAATTTATTGTATTTCAACAGTGATGAAATTCTATATGCTTTATAGCCGTCCAACGACAAATATATCAATATGTTCTTTCTAATAGTCCCCTAAAAGGACGAGGATTGATGTACAACTTGCTTTGAAACAAGAAATATGAAAATAAGTTTGAAATTCTTTTTCTGGGTAAGCCGGTCACATCAACTCAACATTATTATAGAGTTCATTCGAGTCTGTGTAAATAAAATGAAAGCAAGAGCTTAATTTTTCCTTCTAAATGCCATTAATATTTTATTTTGTGCTGCAACTTTGTGTCGAATTTGTTATGCGGCTCCTTTGGGCGTCGCTGCTTCTGGTAAGTTATTGAAATCAAAAATCAACCGTCGGTACTAGAAATATTATATATTCCATTTCTCTGCCTTCCTAATTTCGAATATCTCAACGCTGCGGGGTATGCGGGCGATTATTTAACTCCACCGCCACCACAATTTCGTTTAACGAGTGCCTTTACTAATGTTGGAATCATTGACATTGTCGAGTTAAATTAAACAACATTACATTCAACCATTAATGTTGTTGGCATATAATTCATATTAAAGAATTAAACTTATTTTAATCTTCCCATCACAATATTGCAAATTGTGCTCTCTTTATTTTTACTGGGTATTTGGCTCAACGAACACGAAATTGTGCTCTCTTCTTCCTGGATATTCGTCTCGGCGGACGCGGTTTAGTGTAATTCAGTGACAATTGTTACCGATCTAAGAATTAGTCGCTGATAGTGGAGCGCTCCCACATCAATAACCAGAGAATGATTGAGATAACTATTGCAATACCATCATACATGATTTCTATCTATCCACTATCACTGGCTAATTCTTATGGCAGTAAAAAGTATATGTAGATTATTAACACTACAGGCTTAGTATCAGCCAATGAAAAAATATATAGGATTTACTACAAATTTCGTCTTTTACCAAAAAAAAAAGAACATTTTCAAATCGGGAACTTCCAAATTTTGCCGAAACCTTCATAGAAATACATACATATTGTAGTGATCACCTTACCATTTTATGTAAATGTAAGTAAAAATTATTTACCATTAATTAGATAGGACGACGGCTATGAGGTATGTCAAAAATTTAAACGCAAAAGAAAAAAGAGTAATGACATAGACTCGACATGCTAACAGTATTTTTTTTTTGTAACAAACGCAAATAAATTCATAACCACGAGTAGCACAACACCAACCACAATAGACATAACAAAAAACAACAGTGTTTATACATTCCACCAATCGAGTCACTCACAAACGTATTTTGCATTCAAAGACGATTTTAGTGTTTCCTTATTTAAATATTTTATTTCGCCAAATGTCAAAAAAAAACATTTAATATTTAACATATCATTTATTTATGTAACTTTTCTTAAGAATGGACAAATATGCATGCCTCATGTCTCATTACTGCAAAGAACTTTTTGAAATTTTTGGCCGCTATTTAGGTTTGTAGCTAGAATTATTTTTTTCACTGACAATCCTGAAATACTTAAAAAGTTAATTTTTTAGAGAAAAATTGCTAGTGCAGCACCAAAATGCGTTGAAGGAAATGATAATTATAATTTCTGTGTGCTAACAGCACCTTAATACTAATAGTAATACGTATGTACGTATAGCCATGTATTTCCCTTTAGATGTCGGTCGTACCAGGATTTAAAACATGGCCTTACGGCAGTGCACAATGCTAACCACTCGCATACCGCGTCCGCGGTGTGCTTAATAAAAATGCATACATTCGATACTTGATATTCTTTGTTATATCGTACATTTCTCTCGAACATCTTATAATGTAGTATCTTTAATTTGTTTGCGGCCCATAATAGCTAGAAGTGTTGAGCGTTCGGCGATTTTTTGCTGTCAAAAAAGGTGGAACAAAGGTTTTAAATGCAATCGCTTGAAATGTTGAGAGTTTACTGTGCTTTGAGACAAAAAAAATGTCTGAGTTGCCGTATTCACCAGATTATTTTCCTATCCCAATCAATGGAAATGAAAATTAATTATTGAACACAGTTAGTACATATAATATATATTCTATTCATACGAGTATAGCAGGACTGACTCTTATGAAATTTTGAATGTATATTATTTGTATTCCGTAGAGGTCTGAGAATAGGATGTAAACTATTTTTCACACCGGAAAGTGCACTAGGGCATGACCTAGTTGCAAAATCGTATGTTTGGTTCGATTATTTTGAAATCTGCATTTCTCGAAAGTTGAACGATTTACTTGAAAAAAATCCGAATAGTGTTTTTGGCTTACTTCGACGAGGCATTCATATTCAATAGCTCTGTTTGATGAGAAATGTCCGCAGGAATTAGCCATTAACGAAATGTCGAAATAGCGCTCTCTCGCTGCAAATTGTATTCGGTTCAGTAAAAATTTGTAACATTTGTTATTTTGTAAATCAGCTCACCTATTAGGATTCTTGAGTACCGAATAGGCGAAACACATATGCAATCAATAATACAATAAAAAACTTAACGTTTTGTATAGGGGGTTTTATCATTACTTGCAATACCAGAAGTTAGAATAAAAATTGGAAATAATACAGAAAGCCACAACAACGTGTTCGTCGAGGCTGTTAGTATACATATGTAAATACGTACATAAATGCACATATGTATGTAAAGCTATACAATCCAAAGAGGACACGGAAATAACAGAAAATGAGCCCGAACGTTAAAGTGAGAGAATGCAAGTCGTGAGCGAATCGAACTATTTCATATCATATGAATTTACCATAGTATGTATTGTAGGTAGATGTTTAGTCTCTACGAATTGCATGATTTTGAGCAGAAAAGCAGCGGTTATGTGCCATTACTCCCACACAGATGTACAGGATACGGTGTCACTTGATATTTCAATTAGATATGAAATGTATCTATGCATGGAACTTGATTTCAACAATTTTATATTAAATATTTCGAGTGTATTTGATGATATTTTTTCTCTTTCCACTTAACAACGCGACATATGTATACCTTTACTCAAATATTGGAAAGAAAACTAAAAAATTTGTGCAGGAGGGCCGGTGATGTAACCGAATATGGGTTTGAATTAGTTAGCTTATTTCTTATTAATTAACGAAGGGTGGAATGATTGATTGCAATATTAATTTGTTTTAGTATCTACATTTTAATAAAGTACAACCTAAACATTTTATTAGTTCGCTAATCCGTTAATAATATTACAGATTGACATGTACTTATATGCACCTATATAAATATATATATACATATATACTGAAATATACTAATCAATATTAATTATAAATATCAATAAAAATTTATAAATGGTCGATAATTTTATTTATTATTTTTTAAAAATATTTGCTCAATTTAGTCTAATTAAAATATACATTCACTGGTTCGTATCTTTACTCAATAGTAACCTTTAGTGTAAGAAAAAGTGTGACCATATTTTTGAGATTCTTATGCTTCAAAAAATAATAGTCTAGAAAAAAATAATAATCAGATTCAAACATAGGTTCCCATAAACTAAATGCGAACGGATTTTAGAACATAAGTATGCGATCAGGTAGTTTGTCCTGCCGAGCTCGTCTTCAAATTAAATGTCGGTGTCTTGATTTTAAGCCCTCCATTCTATGCATGAAAATGTTTCACTATACATCATAAATTTAAACTTCATAAGGTCTTTTTATTTATTACAAAACATACATACATATGAGTGTGCGCAAGAAGTATGTCTTTGAGCAAATTTATTATATCCACATATCCATATGTAAAAAAAATTAGTTCAATTAAATTATCATTCGTAGCAAAAATGTATATAAAACTGAGACGTTGATAATTTATATATATTTTGGCCAATTATTTGCAAAATAATTTGCTTAAAAAATTAATATCTGAATGCAGCGTAATAACTATTTTGGCAACCCTTACTTTCAGGTGTCGACTGGGCAGCACCTTCATTTGAGTGGTGACATGAAGAGCAATCTATCGGTGGCTGCACAACAGGGTGTACAGTTCTTTAATCATCAACAGCAGTCTCATGGGTCAGGCCCACAACAGCAAAATCATCAACAACACCAACAACAACAGCAACAAAATACTCAAAATGCTCAACAGCAGCAACAACCACATCAATCACAACATCAACCAAATCAAAATCTCAATCACGGAAACGGTAAATTTCGCAGCAATATCCAAACATGCATATCTATTACTTGGATGCATATGTATTTTGATAAAAATCAATATTCTCTCTCAACACATAAATTTTGTGGCAATTGACAGGCACATCAGACAGTTTCTCTATCTCACAAACGCAGTCAATGAATTTCACGCAACATCAGCAACAACAACAGACTCAACCACAACAGTCTCAGCAGAATCAACAGATGCCGTCCAATATGCGCCAGCGCCAGACACAAACACAAGTTCAAGCACAAGCTGCTGCTGCAGCTGCGGCGGCAGCAGCTTTAGCACAGGTTTCATCGACTAACGTTGGTTCACCGGTCGGGCCAAGTAATAACAATAATTCCAATGCTCAAAATAATAGTGTGTCAAGTGGTGTGGGCAATTTAATAGGACAACAGCAACAAGCTCAACCAGGAGGAGTGGGTGGTAATTTGCACGGTGGTCCAAATTCTCTTCCAACAGGTATGAACCCTATGGTGTCGGGTGGAGCAGGGTCGGGTGGTGCTAATAATATGGGCGGCTTAACGGGAATGGGAGGCGGTGGTATCGGCAGTTCAAACCAACTGGGTGGAAATATGGGTAGTAGCATAGGTGGAATGATGACAGGAAATTCTATACCCCATCCGAACGGTCCCAACGGACCATCAAATTCGGCAGCGGCCATGATGATGGCTGGCACGGCCAATGGAGGGCCACCGATGAGCATTACTCAAGCCAAATATTTACAACAGCAACAAATAATGCGTGCACAAGCAATGCAGCAACAACAGCAACACATGGGAGGAGCACGCCCACCTCCCCCTGAATATAAGGCGTCACAGGCGCAACTTATGCAAGCACAAATGATGCAACAAACCGTTGGAGGAGGCGGACGTTTCCCTAACGCTGCAGCGCAAGCAGCAGCAATGCGACGTATGACACACCAACCCATACCCCCTTCAGGTATTAAGTTATAGGCATTTTAAATTTATTTACTTATCTTAATTTTTTTTGTAAATTTTTAGGACCAATGATGCGCCCACAGCATGCAATGTACATGCAACATTCAGGTGGGGGCGGTTCGCGCTCAACCATGGGGCCCTATGGCAACCCCATGGGAACGCAACAGCGCCCGCCCAATGTGCAAGTGACCCCTGATGGAATGCCGATTGGATCACAACAGGAATGGCGCCACATGATGATGTCTCAGCAACAACAGATGACATTTGGAGGAGGTCCAAGCGGCCCAATGAGACAAGGTCCAGGAGGATTTGGTGGCGGTATGTATTATTTTTTTTTCATACTTAACATCACGTCGTTATATATAATATACAAATGTTTATATTTATAAAAATGTGAAATAAAAAGGTAATTATATTTCCCCCAAAGGTGGTTTTATGCCTAATACTGGTGGGACAATACCAGGTGGTGGCAACGGCAGCATGGGTACTGGTCCAAACTCTGGCATGCAATTATCGCCAGCACAAATTCAACAACAAATTATGCGACAGCAACAGGTGCAACAACAGCAGCAACAAATGTTGTCGAATGCAGGAGGTGGAACAGGTCCAGGACCAGGCAGTATGCAGATGCAGCAAATGTTACACCAACACCATCAACAGCAACAAGTTGGGGCCGCCAACATGATGACGCAAATTCAATTGGCTTCTCTCCAGATGTCTCAATCACAGCAACAGCTCACAATGCAACAACAGCAGTTTGTACAACAAACCACATCGACGTCGAACACACATCAGCAACACACACAAATGATGCAAATGACTCAGAATGTTTCAAGTAGCAATACAGGCCCTGGCGGATTGATAGGTGGTCCATCAAGTGGCTCTGGTTCTGGCAGCAGCATCGGTTCACTTGGAACAGGAACGGGTAGCCTTGGACCAAGCAACAATAATCTGACAAGCAATAACATGACGCCGGGTGCCGCAAGTGTTGCTATTAATCAACCGACCAATTCTCCTGCTTCTTCCAATACTGCCAATGCCATAAATCAAACTAATTCCAATGATTTGTGTCTCGAATTTCTTGATAACTTGCCGGTGGATAGTGGTAATTTCTCCACACAGGATCTGATCAATTCCCTTGATAATGACAATTTCAATCTGCAAGATATTTTGTAAAGTCATTGTTACGTAATGTTTTAAACCGATGTTGAAGTAAAAAAAGTAAGTCTACAATCTCATAAATGTATGTACATAGTAGAAACTCGCTAAAGGTGAAGGTGAAAACGAAACGTTATTCGAAAAAAAAATTCGATTGCCATATGTATTTCCACTTTTTTGATAGAGTTCATTAAGACACGATTAGATTTTTTTTTTTGCTAAATAACTAGATTTTATAGTTTGAATTATTCATACAACATTCCATGAAAAGTTTGTTAAAGATGATGTAGGAATGACAAGGAAATTGTTTATACAAACTCATACTTTCGTCATTACCCTTTTATATACATATGGATAAATGTACTTAAAATTTTTATAACAAAAAAAATACTTTGTCAAAACGTTAGCAATATGGTGGAAAAGCCCATTACATAATTTCGTGTTTTTAATTTTGTACATTGCAGAGGTTTAGTAAGCATGCAAATGATGCAGATGTGCAAGCGCATCCAAACAACTCACATTTTAATTTATATACGTTTTCGTATAACTTTAAGTGTAAAATGCATAATAAATTGGTGATATTTTTCTATTATTAATTATTGTTATGAACAAAAAAACCCGTAACCGAGCATTGGTTCGAAAAAAACTTAATAACGATTAAAATCAAATATGTTGTATCAGCAAAACTTAATGTAATGTTTTAATGTAGTAACAATTAACTTTAAATAAATACTAAAAAACAAAAAATATGTAAACAGCAATACATATTTGTAACTATTACTAACTATAGTATTAAATTGTAAGTTCCATAACATTTTTTAATTTAAAAGTTAAATCTAAGGTTAATATCAAAGACAAGCCCAACATATACAAATAAATCGCTAGATAAAGCTAATACTTTAAAGCAAATAGGCATTACAACAAAAAACATATACTTTCACACACGAACCATACCAATAAAGCGATTTACTTATTAAGATCGAATATAAGTTATAAAGCTTTCATTAAAAATATGAAATAAGTTTAAAATAGGGATTATTATTATTGTAGTATAATTGTTATTCTAAATAAAAATGAAAATGTAGATACACGCAGATAGCTTTAAGTACTTACATATACAACTCTAAATAATAATAAAAGACATGCGTAACATGTACATGTTTTCAAATTTATTTTTCAAAGCATTTTTGAAATGTAAACCCCACTTAAACCTGTTGAGACTATACTTAAACTTGAACAGGCTTCTCGCAGGAATCATAAACGAGCATGCTAAGAGCCGACGAATTCTTCATAATCTTTCACTTGTTCTTGACTTAACAATCATTTAGTCCATTATGAATGATTCACTCGAATTTCTATTGTGTTTATCTGCAGAACTAAAGTCTAAATTCCTATGTATGCAGATGTAATGGAGACATATTAAAGCAACTAAAAGTTGATTCATCCAATAACCAGCTTTCAATTTCAATTTTTTTAAACTTTAAATGCTAATAAAAACAGTTAACGTATTAAATCCTCAACATATTCGAAGATGCATTAAAGAACCTAAAATTATTTGGTATAGAAAGCTAGCCACCCATGCCAATATAATTTTTTTGGGTGTTTACCTTTTGCATATGCGAAGAAAATACTACTACATCTTGTCATCATTCAGCTCATACATACATACAACTTGAAATTGTATAGAATTTAGTTAGTACAAAATGTATACATATTTCCAAAATATAGGTACTACTGTAGAAAACTAAGTTCAACACAATGATCTTGAAGCATATTCAGCCTTAATGTTAATAGCGCATATTTTACAATATTTTTTAATTGGCACAACTCAGCGGTATATAATTAAATAGATCATAAAAATATATTAAAGAACTCAATATTCAATAACTTATTACGTACATAAGTTATCATGCGAGATCAAAAAAATCAAAACACATTTTTTGATTAATAACATTAAAAGTGTAATATGTAAAGATATATAGAGCAAATATCTAAGTTACAATTCATTACAGCAATTGTAATAAATAAATAATCAATAAATTTTATATATAAATAGATATACGCATACACACGTACATAAAAAATAAAAATAAAATTGATCATCCATGCACAAAAAATGTTTAAATGTAAAAAATATTCCGTAGCTAATTTTAATTTTTTCGAATCCAGTAGCTTTATCTGCTCGGATAATTTTTAATAATTTGCAAATATTTATATAAAATGCAAATAATTTTATTCCAACTTTCAAATTACACTGTACATTTCTCATTATTCATAGTGTTTTCTCTTAAAAACAAACTTTTTCATGACAAATATACATGGCATATTTTTGACTACTTCAAGCTGTGTATAGCTGTATAAATAAAATATTTACAACTTACAGTTGAATATTTTAAACTAAAAAAGTAGAAAATGGAATAAAAGTTACAAAAACCAAGTAGCATCAATAATTATTACTAAAATTATCACTACGCTAAAGTAAAATATAAAAATACATGTGTATATGTACATGTGGAAAAAATATTACTTTTGTAAATAAACAAAAAAAATAATAATTTGTTATTGATGTTTTTGTTCGAGAAATTGAAAATGTCATAAGGGGCCAGCGCGGAATGTTTTCCTTAAACACGGTGAATCAGAGGTATCAAAAATTTACTAAATTGTTCTTGCACTCATGCTATACTGGAAATTATAATATCAGAGGTCAAGAGTATGTTTGAGTATGACATAACATTTTTGGAACTAACGGACTCATAAGAAGGTCAAACTTTGGTGAGTTCACAAATCATACATCTCCTTACTTAAACATTTCTTTCATATTTTTATAATAATTGTATGTACAATAGTACATTATTCATTCATAACGGCCTCTCGGCGATCAAAAACTGGAATTTGAATAAAATGATTTTTAATATTACAGAAAGAAGTCACCCTCACACGATTTTATTACTTAATTGAGGTAGGTGAGGTATCTGAGGAATATTTAAAACATTCCCTAGAGAATTCTGAATCTTTTGTAGTATTTATATCAGAGAACTGTTAAAACAGCACATATTTACTGCTACGTTTTATCCAATAGATCTGTATATGTTAGGTTTTCCTGTGCCACGGGTACCGCTTTCGCCGAATGTTTAAAGAACTCATTTGATTAAACAAGCTTTGGACAATGGCATTATACTTTTATCGATGGTGTGCCCTTCATTCATAGATTGGTAATTTATTAAAGCAAAATAAGCAAATTTTAATGTTTACTCTTCAGTTCTTCAGTTTAATTTTTTCTTTACATTTTTATAAAAAAGATATACGTTATACATAAAAGAAATAAATTCAATGTATTGAGTACCTCCTTTTTGGTCGGTCAAAATATGCCTATATAAAACCTTCTACTAATAAACATATTAATTAATTTTGGCTTCAAAATTTAATATTGCCGTACAAAAGCAGCATTCTTGGTCATACATCATACATATTGCGCTGTTCATATGTGTGTATAACCTCTTAAGACGGTTTTTGTCGAAAATTCCCATTTAATTTATGCGAACGATAATCAGATATTGTCAAGCCAAGTTTTTAGAAGACGAAGTAGAACACACTGCTAACACAACGGCTATTGCGACCAACAACTATAATTTAAATAAGCCCAAAAATTTAAGAAATATGTTCTATTATTCAATTTATTACACTAAATTTTTTAACAATTTACGATCTATAGTAAAATAGTAAAGTCATCGCTTTCGATATAGGCATGGTTTTAGGGAGAATGGAGGTATTAAAGCAACTTTTCCAACGTTCCGCACCTTTTTAAACTGAAAAAAGTAAAACAGCTTCTCATTATCATCCTTTTTGAGCAATTGAAAACCACATGCTTCTAATCCACGAATAAATTCTCGAATATCGTCGAACCGAGACTGTATTTCTGCAATCAATACGAAACCATTATGACGTAAAACACGATTTGCTTCAAGCAAATAGTCCTTCAAATTAGTGCCCATCAAAGAAAGACAATATACTGCGATATCTACCGAATGATCGCTTAATGGCGTTTGTGACATGTCGCAAGCGATAATATCGTTGCGTGTGCTCACCAAATCCATAGAATAAACTTTGTTAGGCAATGACATAGCTAGGCGGCCTTCCCCACAACCAAAATCGACGATTTCTAATGATTTTGGTAAACGTTTTATCATTTTTACTATGCGATCTAAAGGATTAATAGGCCATTTCTCCACCTGTTGCTGATATCCAGTATGATATGCATTAAAAGCTTCAGCATCTGATTTAAAAAATGCATCCGCTTCTGTGCTATGCATTGAGTATAATTGTTCGTTTATGTAACGAAAACGCCCACCCAACAACTGTTTTTTAAGAGAGTTTTCAAATACTTTTAACCCAACATCATCCGAGCTGGTTTCTACACTTTCAGTACGAACATTGTGTTTTGATGCTGTCGAATATGAAGGATTCTTCGTAGCAATGCTTTTGAGGATTTTTTCACTTCCAACAGTTAGAAATTTGCTCTTCTTTTGTTTTCCCTTTTCATCAATCGTTAGTTGAGCATTTGATGCTAAATTTGCTGCCATTGGTGGCAGTGCTTCGGCCGAGCTTACTAGTGCTTTATTCTGTAAGTTTGGCTTCTTAGCTGAATTTCGTTTTATAACTCGCCCATTTTTTATCTTTTTAGAGTCAATTACACTTTTACTATTTTGTGTTTTAGAAAAATTTTTTGAAACTTCTGTGTCGGATTTTAGTTTTTTACTTTTCTTGTTTTTTACAGCAGTTTTAATAACACGTTCTGCATTTGCATTCGTACCAGCGCTAATCAATGAAATCTTTGAACGGAATCTCACTGCCTCCGCAAGATCCTCCCACGATGACGGTACAAAGAATTTCGACATTCTACAATTAGTGAAAATTTCTAAGTTTAAATACTTTTCGTTGGAAAAAAAGATGAAATTTTCAAATGAAGTTCTCTACAAAGAAATATATCACAGAGAACGTTCTCTGTATATCAAACCTGTCAACAATACGCAAAGTACTCTAAGTTTTAAGACGAATTCAGTACAGCTGCTGCCAAGGCGAATTCATCATGGAAAGGAAGTCGAAACAGCTGACTTTTTTTTCAAATGTTAAGTTGAACAGTTTGAACGCCGCGGGTTACGGGCTACGAAATGTAAAATTATTAACGTTCCCTCTGTAGTCAGCTACAAAATAAGATAAAGTCGGCAGCGGCAGCGGCAACGACAGCAACATTGACATTTTCATTGGTACCATATACAATTATTTTAATTAATCTATTTGGTATATTACATGGTTCCCTGTTATTCGATGATTGCTCGTGTTTTTACGATAGCCATTACTAATAAAAAAGATGCATGTGCGCAAATGAATTTTACTCGTGTACAGAAAATCTTTGCAGATGAGATTGTATCAGTTTCAGAATTGTATTCGAAAGTAAAAATAATGTCCGAAGTTAGTTTTTCATATATACTCCATAATGGTACCCACTGTAGATATTCCATGGAGTAAATTTTAGATTAATTCCAAAACTAACCTTATGCATGCATACTCCATGGATTACTCGGGTTTTCATCCCTAGGACATCGCAATGTCGATTGGATGATATTTTTGTATATGGATTGTGGTTAGTTTTGGATTACTCCATTGTCCGCGTGGAGTATATATGTATGGAGTAGTCGCGGTGTTAGCAAGGTAATGGTATTAGGGCTACATACACAGCAAGAAAGGAGAGTACCCTAATCGCGCCGGAAACAGCCACCTGTGCCCATCTCTAATATATGTATAGTACACACATACATATGTGTATATCGCATATCTAAGCTAATCTATTGAAGCTATTCCTAAAAATTAACCGATCAAATTGACTTTTGCTGCCAAAGAAGTTATTGCTTAAAATATCTTTATAGATTCGATAGAACTAGTGGTAGAAGTACTCGTTTCATTCATGCCTGAAATACACCCGGAGAAATTAGAAAAATTAGCTTAATTTTTAATTAAATTTAATTTTCTATAAATTTTGGATGAGGGCCGGGCAAGGACTCTTGGCCTGACCTCTCTAATGCCAGTACTCTCTACTCGGAAGTTGCTGCCATTTCCAGACACATATGTACATATCTATTGGTAAAATCATGGTATCAGAAACGCGAAGAACAAAGAAAACTTGTTTTCGATTGCATCTATAAAATTTGGAGAATGTAGATTCCACTAGTTAATTTGCAAAGTTATTTCTAAAAGGGGACTGTAAAAATATTTATTTATAGCTCACAATTCTACCAGGCCCAAAACCTTTTCTGGCCACCAAATTGAGTTTAGGTAGACACTTGCCTAGAAAGTCTTATTCAAGCACACGAACACAAGTTTACCATTCTATAAAAAACTAAAAAGATCACCTTTTTCATCTTTTATATTATTTGTACACGTATGCATGTTTCAGTTTTCAAATAATTATAACGGACACAAGCGGAAAATGTATTATATTATATAATAAAAAAAACATGTATTGCTTATTAATATTTTGAAAACTCATTCTGTGGAAAGGCTAATATTTAATTCCTAACTAATACATAAAATCTAACATAAGTCTTAAATGTATGTACATATGTGTGTAAGTCATCATAACAACACTATTAAAATAAAATTCGATTTGTTAGAATTTCTTTCATAAACTTCTTTGGACTCAACTTTACATGACGTTTGATATATGATAACACATTCTTATAAGTTGTATTCAATTTTTTTTTTGGAAAATTTGGCTTACTGCAAAGATTTGTTATTGAAAGGGTGTAAAATTTTTAACCTTGTCATCAGTAAAGATACAACATAAAAATCTGAATACATACTTACGAACTTAAATATGCGCCCAATGTACACTTAAGCTTCTTCCCAAAGTGTCAAATTAATTGTATACCTACTGTTTCTGTTTTCAAGCGCTAACACCTTGATTATGTAGCCAATATTTTTTTCTCACGCTATTTTTATATCTATACATGTATGTATGTATATTCATGGAATATACACTTATTATGATCAGGAATTGCCCACCTTTGCATTTATTTAATCTGTATGCCGCTGATTGAGTGCAGGCAAACACATACATGTGTATGTATGTGAACGTATTTACACTAAATTTACACGTTCCAGAGACAAGGTTTTCAAATTTTACAAACTGTAGCATTCTTAGCCGGGAATGATTTCAAATTACCACTGAAAACATTGAATTTCGCAAATATTGCTCAACAAATACACTAGTCTCTGATGATAGGCTTGCTATTATTAAAATGTGGCTTTCAGATTGAATCAATCATAGCACGAAATTTAGCCTCACGATATCTAAATATTCCATTCGTGTTTATTGAAAATATTTTAATTTCTTATTTGTAAAACTAAGCAATGCCTAATTATAATTATTTTAATATTTTTAATAAAAATATACGAAAATAAATTTAAGGAACAAAACGTAGATGAAATGAGCTGTTGTTGGTGTGGATGTTACATCAATGTGTCTTACAACAAATACATAATCCATACTGTTTTTAATACAACTATTTATTACACAACGGTATGATAGTCATTAAAGGAATTGAAATTATTCCAAAAAATTTCAACTGTTTTTATTCCAGCTAATTTTGATGTGGGGTATACAAATTTGACTGTACATACATAAAACACATGTATATGTGTATATATGTACATAACAAATGTGCATATGTGGATAATATTTTCTAGAAAATTATCATTTTAGCAACTATGCAAAATTTTTAAACATTCAGAGGAAATTTCGAATTTTATGTATGCAAAGCAAATAGTGTACGTACATATATATGTGAGTATGTGTATATCATGCATCCGTTTATATATATGTATGAATGTAAGCATGCCGTGGTGACCGAGTGGTTAGCACTGCGTACTGCCATTCGGAAGGAACGGGTTCAAATCCTGGTGTCACCAAAATGCAAAACTTTTTGAAAATTAATTTAAACAAAAAATTAAGCTGAATTTTCTAATTGCGGTCGCCTCTCGGCAGAGAATGTCAACCCCTCCCAGTGTATTTTTGACATGAATTAAAGCTACTCGTAAAAAACCATCAGCAATTCAGAGACGGCTTCCACTCTAGGCAACATAATTTACAACTGACTACATTTCAATTGCCAGGTTGCCGAAAATATGATGAGAAAAAATTATTTGCTAAAGTTATAGTTATGCATTCAAATGTTACATAATAAATCTACTAAATATTTCCGACAGGGTGGATCCGTATTGTAAACTTAAACGCATATCTACATATATAATTTCTAGACCAGGAAAAAGGATAAAATTTACGAATGTATTTACTTATTTGTCTAAGACACTGTCGACTAACATCGCAGTAAAAATGGAACTCATCAGAAAAGCATCATCCGGGAAGAAATGATTACTACCAATCACTCCGATGCTCATGTAATTTTTACTCCTTCTTGACATTACAAGCCATTGGAAAGAAGGACTTTTAAAGGTTAATTCACATAAAACACTCTTTGCGAGTGATCGAAAGCATTGTTAAGCACATAATTATGAAAAAAAAATCAGCAGTCCTATTGGATTTGTGTCGTATGCTTTTATTATATGTATAATAGTAGAAATACTTTATTATTTCAGTTTTAGGATGGCCCACCAGTATATTGTGCAGGCCTAAAAATGTCTATTTGGATTGAATAGAAACTTATTTTCGATTCAACTTATGAGAAGTATTCTATCTGGTCATTTTCATATAAAAAAAACAACATGTAAATGTGGAAGTGATAAGCACTGTAGAAGAAGGAACTCCTTTAACTGCTGAGTGGAGTACATGTATTGGGCAATACATGTTCTTAGAAAATGAACTTGTTTGATAGCGGCAAATTAAAAAATTTAGTTATGACCTTTGTCTCTCTCATTGTATGGGAAATAGTACATATGAGATTATAATGTTATTATTTTAATATCAATTAACTAAGATTCATGATTATGCCTTTGTACTTCAAAAAACAAAATATAATTAAAATACCTTTTCTTTATCCTTTTATTAACTCCTGGAATATTATATAAAATTCGAACATTTGTATAAAATATTTATGAGTGAGCTTTTATGTAGCAACAGTCATCATCTTTTTATCGATAATATGACACATTTAAAGCTTTAAGTGTTCTAAAAATTATCCGATATTTTTTATTTTTTTGCTTGTTCCAAAGATTTATAATTCAACAAGCCATATACTTAATTTTCACAAGGCCAATTAATTTATAAGTTCCATTTTTATGAAAAATTCTAAATACTTCTTTATATATTGCACAACAACTAAAACCTTAATAAAGAATATTTCACTATTTCGCAGGTGTATATTTTCCGATATATTCCCTTCAAATAGCAAAATTGAAGCATAGCAAGACGGTACGACTTTCGAAAGGATAAGGTTCGAGTAAAAAAAATTCATTCAAAACCAAAAAACACAAGAAAGAATAAATAGATCAAAATTTTAATTCAAATCATGCAGAGTCTAAACCGCTTTATGAAACATACCATAAACGAAATTTCTAAAGTTTGAAGTATGTGTTTTTTTGCTTCCTTTTCTTTAATATCATCTTTTAATACTGCCGAGAATCGTGCTGGCTCCTAACGGTGCTCATCAATATTTGGTATAGCAGACGGGATGCGAGATTTAGCGTTGAATTTCACACTTACTATAAGGTTATTAAATTATTTTCACTTATAAAAACTTTTGTTAAAAGAATGAATTCGTCATAAGAATAATATTTTGTATCAAGCTAGGTAGCAAGAATAGATCCGCAAAGAGTTTTTAAACTTACATGTACGACAATTAAGATTTTTGATTATGTTAGCTAAAAAATGATTCAGGATTAATATTAACCGTGAGATGTTATAAATGTAGAAGGGGCCAGCATTGAAAAACAGTTGGAAACTGACTCTCCCGCATCGGCCAGCTTACTTCTCGCCTCCGCTTGCCTTTCCCTCTGCATTAATTTTTAGGCCTCTCTCTGCTGCAATTTCCATTTAAATGTTTGCATTATTCATTTGTTCCTACCTAAAGTTGATTTAAAATATCTGAATTAATTCCGACTTACTTGTTATTAAAGTAAAATATATGTTGACATGCCAGTATACCAAACACTGACTGAAGGAACGATTATTACGGAAATGTACACATGGACCTAAACACTTTAAATACTCCGTTTTCTATATACGAAAAGATTTGAGATAATGAAACACAATGTAAGAGAACATAAAAATTTTGTTGTTCCCAATAAAGCAATAAAGGAGTACCCTTATTTGCTAATACTACAAGCATTTTTGATGGGTTGTTCGCAAAA